ATTTGATATTGAATAAATCGCTAATTACTAATTTTTGTTGAATATTGTGATCGTTTATGATTTGTGTTGAAGATCATGTATTAAATTAAGTCTTTTCAATAGTTGTTACATATTTTTGTGCTTTACTGTGCACATTTTGCCTTCCAATGCACATATATACCCGCACGTTTCACCTGCCGCTTCTTTTTCGATCCACTTGAACCCCTGCATATATATATATATATATATATATATATATATATATATATATATATATATATATATATATATATATATATATATAGGGAAGGGATCAGGTGCATTTGTGGCTCCCGTGCGGTTGTGCGGTGGATTAATGTGCGTGAGTGTTGTGCTTAATGTGCCTGAGATTTATACTTAATGTGCGTAATGTTAATATGCGTGAGTTTTGTACTTAATGTGTCTGAGTATTGTGCTTAATATGCGTGAGATTTGTGCTTAATGTGCGTGAGTAGTTCAGAATTACGAGCTCAGAAGGAAGCAGAACAGAAAACTCACGCACATTAACGCCCAAGATTCTTGTTACTTCTTCCTTCAATTTGACCATGGATTCTGGATTATCAGCTACCTTCAGTGCAGTTGAATGTTTATATAGATGACGCACGCACAACAAAATTTGCACACCAGCTAAGTGTGGATTTCTATTGTACATATTATTCCCATAATTCTTAACCACCATAGCCCGCCTCCGCATCATCATCATCAGGGAGGGGGCAATGGCTACTAGGGATGGGAAGAAGCTGACATCCACATTTTTTGCTGCATTTTACACATTCACGCACATTAATTACAAATCTCAGGCACATTAAGCACAACACTCACGCACATTGAGTACAAATCTCACGCACATTAATCAACCGCACAACCGCACGGGAAGCATTCAACCGCACGAGAACCTTTCACTATATATATATATATATATATATATATATATATATATATATATATATATATATATATATATATATATATATATATATATATATATATATATATATATATATATATATATATATATATATATATATATATATATATATATATATATATATAGGGAGGGGTTCAGGTGCGGGTATAGCTTCCCGTGCGGTTGTGCGGTTAAATCTGAGCAGTTGATCAAATTTAGATCAACGGCCCAAATCAATGAAAGTTAAAAAAAAAAAAAAAAAAAAAAAAGCGTGCCTGGAACAAAGAAGTAAATAGCCTTCGCAGTTAACCTGGTTGCCAAGGGTCGTCTCTTTGCCTCCTGCACAACTTGAGCACCAAAGCTGGATTTCATCTCGTAAAAATCATCATTTGGACCCACCAGGTAATGGAAGCAGTGTGCGAATACCAGGAAGGCGAGGAGGAGACTCATTCAACTCATCAACTCTATACTTTGAATTTGGATTTCTCCTTTTATCTTGCTTAGGAGTAGCGCAGCTTTGCTGGAGGGTTTTGCCAAAGCCCAGGGCAAGTCGGAGGCTGGGTGTACCGTGTTAGATCTTAATCACAAACTCACGCACTTTAAGTACAAAACCCACACAGATTAAGCACAATCTCACGCACATTAAGCACAAAACCCATGCACTTTAAATATTAACTCACAGACTTTAAGTTTCAACAACTACTGACATTAAGTACAAAACTCACGCACATTAAGTATAAAACCCACGCACATTAAGCACAAGCATCACGCACATTAAGCACAAACCCCACGCACTTTAAGTATTAACTCATAGACTTTACGTTTTAACACTATTCCGTTAAGCACATCCCCACGCACATTAAACACAAAACTCACGCACATTAAGCACAAAACACATGCACATTAAGCACAAAACTCAAGCACATTAATCACATATCCGCTCACCTTCATTTTGACCTAGATGCAAAAATTACAAAATTGCCACCGCGTTTTTTTTTAAACTTTGAAAATCCTGAACGTTGATTTAAGCGAGATGAAAGGTCCAAATTAAACCGCACAATCGCACCTGGACACTCTAACCGCACCAGAACATAAATATATATATATATATATATATATATATATATATATATATATATATATATATATATATATATATATATATATATATATATGGGGTCGGAGAGAATAGACTTTTATATTTTAAAAACTTTTATGAAAACTTAAGTCCAACGAAAAGCTTGAACTTTAACGGATTTTTTTTGTAAAAGAGTATGCAACGGAAAGTTAGCTCATTTTTAAAACTTTTGCACCTATTTTAACTATTTTTAGGTTTGGTTGTTAGGCTGGAAAGTAAATATTGTAAGCAAAGAGTTTATTTAGTTGTTCCGCTAACAGTTTACTCCACTTTTCTCCTAAAACACAAAAATTATTGCATTATTATTCTTAGTATATATATAATGCAAGTACTTAAGCAGCCTTGATTACAAAGCCGCCGGCCTTAAGCTCTTAAGTTTATCACAAGTATTACCACTTGCTACTCCCCATCTTTCTATTTCATACAAGTAGAGATGGTTTTGTTGATAACACAGGATATGTTGAATCTGCAACTATGATGTAGACTCGGTTTGAGATTGACTTGATGAGTGCCGAAGTCTTTTCTTGATCTTGAATCTTTAAGTCTTTGAGATTTCTCTCTCTCACTCGCCATCTAGAATATTGCTTGTCAGCTTGCGTGTATGCACTTGAATATCTTGTTCTTTGAAATTGAATGGTTGTGCAATCTCTTAATCTAATTAGGGAAGACTCTTCCTTTCATTTGATTCTCAGGAACATTAAACAATTAATGAGTGAAGTAATGATGACTAGTTTTAGGGGGGAAAGAAATCCTTCAGTTTGTAACACAACAGAAAAACAGTTATTTAGCGACATACGTTTAGCGGCGGTTAAACCGCCACTAAATAAATTATTTAGCGGCAATTATACTAACCGCTTCTATTTAGATGTTAAAACTTAAGTCATTCATGAAATATAAACATGGTTCCTTCCAGAATGGTTACAGATAATTTACAAAATACGCATACACTAGACGAGATCAGATCTGCCCTCCACCCAGTGCCATAGCTCACTCTCAGTCTCTCACTCTCTCAGATGGAACGACTCCACCGCCTCCAGCCCTCCACCGCCATAGCCACCGACGCCACCGCCTCTACCGCCATAGCCGCCGATGCCACCGCCATAGCTCACTCTCCACCGCTACACCGTCGTTTCTTCCAATCGAGAGAGACCTGAGGCGAGTGCAGCGGCGGTGAGATTCGACTTCGGCTTCGACACCAGCGACGAGGACTCCAATAGAAGGTCAGTCATTTTTTTTCGTTCATACTAGGGTTTTTTTTAGGGTTTTTCCCCAAAATCCATTAATATTCTCTCGACCTGCCTTTCTGAATCCTTTTTAATCTTCGTTCAGTTTTTTGAGAGTCTGCTTGGTAAAGGAAAACCTAGAATTGTTTTCTGTTTGAAATTGAATATGTCTCGTGCTCAGATTTTACTGATGAAAGAAGATGGATCTTCACTTGCTACTCTGTCACAAGATAATTTCCTTACTGATATTAAAGTTCATATTTTCCAGTCTCTGCAAGGTGCGCACATAAAAACAAAACTAAGAATTATTTTACATGCTTATGAGTTATGATACTGAAAGTGATATTGTGTTCCACATCTAGGAATTTCCATCTTCTTTTACTATAAAGGCATCCCTTGGAAATCTGCGGATCAGTGATGGCAGTCACTTATCACTTATTGAGCTAGGACTTGCACACTCAATCTCTAAAATGCATTCTAAATTCTTCTATCTGAAACCTATTTGTTTTTCTTTTTTCTCCCTCTTCTTCGGAGGGATGCGGTAGGTTTTGAGTTGTATATGATGTTTTTTTGTCTGTGTGAGCTTTATTTCTTTTTCTAGTAACAAATGAGCTTTATTTCTTTTTCTTGAACTTTGATGGTGGCTGGCTTTTTACTTATGGAAGAGCTAAAGATGTTTAACCCTTCTTTATTCTTTTACAGGAAACCTTTGAACATGGCATGAAAATATCTATATGCTTCTATTCTTTTGTGGGTCATTGCATGTTCTGTGATTCCTGCCTACTACAGAATTAGAAATATAAGTAGTATTTTTCACTACACCTTTAAGGTGAAGGTGTCTTATATAGAAAACAGGAGAACTTTCCGAGGCACCACTTACAAGGAGGTGCCTTGGATATAATATTATTATATTATTATAATAATAATATTAGAATCCGCGTCTCCTAGCCTGGACCGGAGACGCAACTATAATATTATTATAATAATAATATTAGAATCCGCGTCTCCCAACTGGACAGGAGACGCGGATATAATATTATTATAATAATAATATAAGAATTCGCGTCTCCCAGCTGGACCGGACACGCGGCTGTAATATTATTATAATAATAATATTAGAATCCGCGTCTCCAACTCTTAGACAGGAGACTCGGATTTCCACTCAATATTTGCCCCAGATTGGGAGAATTTTAACCTAGCTATCCAATTGTTTGAAAAAAAAAAAAAAGGAAGAAGTGTCAAATAGGCCCATGTACTATTGTCAAGTGCTCAATTTCCACCATGAACTAAATTAAAGGCTAATTAACTACACTTACCTACTAAATTTGTTCAATTAACTTTTTTTTTGTAGGTAATTGACTTTTTTTGCAAGTTACCAATTCAATTATTAAAAAATTAATTTCAAAATAATTTAAAAATTATTTAAAAAAAAAAAAAAAGAATACAGCCACCGGCTATCCTCGCCGAACAGCCGGTGGCTGCCATTTCAAAGACAGTCGTGGCTATCCGGCGAGGACAGCCGGTGGCTGTATTCTTTTTTTATTTTATTTTATTTTATTTATTTATTTTAATAATTAAATAGGTAACCTGTAAAAAAAGCTAATTGAACAAATTTAACTCGTAGATGAACCTATTTGACACTTAATCTAGTTCGTGGTGGAAATTGAGCACTTCGCAGCAGTAGATGTGCCTATTTGACACTTGTGCCAAAAAAAAAAAAAGACAAACGCCCTTCGATCTCCTTCCTCGGCCCCTCGATCGTCGTCTGTCCGCTGTGGTATTCATCGTCCGTCGTCCGCGTCATCGTCCCGGCCTTCTCCGATCGTCGTCTGTCCGCCGCGCAGGCCATCCGTCCGTCAGCTCGCCGTCTGCCTCGCCACTCTCGCTGTTGGGTGTTCACACGGGGAGCATTTTCTTCCTGTGAATATAATGCGAATTTCATCAAAATTTCCCATCTTCTTTTTTCCTTCAACGAGTCGTTTTCAGTAAAAAATTCCCCTTTTTTCTCAGCTTCTTCTGAGCTTTTTCACAATTCGCGTCCCTATTTCGAGTGAGGAAAATGCAGTTAAGGAAAGCTTTCGAGCTTTGATGGGGTGTAGGGCTTTGAATTTTACTTGAATTTTGAAATACGGAAGAACACAGGCTTTTGGTGCGGAGATGTCGAATGGAAGGATGCCTCACTTCCTCCATGGCTTTAATCCTTCGATCAGCTCTGAGAAATTGGTATATCTGTATTTCCATTTCTTAATTTCTTACTTGTTTTCCCCAATGCTGTCATTGTGTGAATTAGTTGCTGCATTTTTCTCTATGTGCATTCTCCAATTAGCTGATCTGTTGTAAACTGCTGCGGATTTGGATTTGGAGTTCTGTTGTAGTTCAAAGTACACATCCTTAGTCAAGCAGGAACTGTTTGTTTATAAAATTTGGAGTGCAAAACGAGGTTGACTGTTGCCATTCTAACATCTAATGATTACTGTTCTTTAAACATTATCTAATAATTGATAATAAATATTCTTCACTTTGAGTTGTATTTGTTGGGAGGGGATGGAATTTGTCAATAGATAGGAATTTGCTTGCTCCCTCATGGTTCATTGAGCATTGTTGGCCATTTTGAGTTAAATTAAATAACACTTTTGCTTTGATTAAGTTCTGTATTTTGATAAGTTTTTGACTCATCAAATGGTTATCATATCGGCCTAAATTACTTGTGAATTGTTATGAAGGTTATGACATAAATGGATATACATTTTACACCAAGCACTACTACAAAAATGAGTATATAAGTACCACTTTATGATTCTTGAACATTAAATTTCTACTGCAACTTATGAATTCAAACACGCATTCAATCATTTTTTCTAGTACAATCCTTCAACTGTTGAGGTGAGATCTGTGTGCATGTCTAAGGAATTGGTGGATTTCCTTTGTAGCATTTTATAGATCTGTGTTACATGTATCCTAAATGTTGCTGCCATTCTGTCATGCAAATTGTTTTTCCCAGTTCATATAATGGACAGTGACATCATGATAGCAATTGCCTACCATTAATAATTTTTGTATGCTTGTTTACATGTGTCTTAAAGATGGCATTTTAATTTAAACTCAATCTTATTTTTGCAGAGCTGGAATAATGATAAAGTTGAAGATGGGATGGAAAAGGTAACATCTATAGTAAAAGGGCTGCGGTCAAAGAGGGCATTGCTACCTCCAAAAGAAAGATTTGAAAGGTAAACGTTAATGATCATATACTCTATTTTGGTAAAATAGTCATTTCTTGTTAATATAGCTAATATTATTTGGAAGTCTCTTATTCCTGAATAGGAGAATATTTGTTGGAAGGTCATACAGGCACCCTTTCTCAATTACTTCTAGTAGAAAGCATGAATTCATTACTGTTCTGAGCTAATTCAATGTTGGTTTGAGAGCTAATTCTAGTTTTTGCTGTTCTGAGCTTAACTTCCTGAATTTGTGCAGGTGATGACTTCTGATTCTATCATCACTTGATAAAAGCTATTTCAATGTTGGTTTGAGACTTAATTCTAATTTGTTATTTTGAGCTCAACTTCCTGAATTTATGCAGGTGATGCATGCACTGGATATGTTGTTTTGTTTGAACAAAATGTATATGAAATGATATATACTTATGCTTCTGAGTTCTGATACATTTCTTCTATTTGGTAGAGTTCTGTGCTTGCCTTGGAAGATTCGACAATAGATGCTGATCAAGTTGAGAACATCATTATGTTTTGCCCAACAAAGGAGGAGATTGAAATGCTTATGGTAAAAAAATGTTTTAGATTTATTAGCTATTTGTACACAAATATATATATATATATATATATATATATATATATATATATATATATATATATATATATATATATATATATATATATTTATTTATTTATTTATTTTTATTTTTATTTTTTTTTTTAAAAAAATGGTAACTTTCCGAGGCACCCACTTGTAAGTGGGTGTCTTGAAAACAAATTAATAAAATAATAATAAATAACTATCCGAGGCACCCACTTGTAAGTGGGTGTCTTGGAAACAAATTAATAAAATAATGATAAAGGACTATCCGAGGCACCTGCAGCGGAGCAGGTGCCTTGGAAAGTCCGTATTAAAAAATTAAAAAAAATCATCTTCCCCTTTCCGAGTCACCCTTTACAGGTGACTCGGAAAGTGGAGGACTTTCACAGTCTCCAAGATCCGAGTCACCTGTACAGGTGACTCGGAAAGTGTTTTATGGGAGACTCTAAAACCTTTTTTTGTACTAGTGAACTTCCTCTGATAAAGTACAGTGTTGGATTGAAGAAGAATCCCTTGGATTTCAACAGTATTAAAGCAGCCAAAGCGACAGGATTTAGACAATGTTCATCATCTTCCTATGAAATTTGGCCTTTTGGTTTCCTTTTGAATGTCAATAGATTAATAAGCATTCTTGTACTGGCTTCTTAGAAAGCTTTCTTGGTTTGGGAGTTTCTAAAATAATTGGCTTCGAGTATATAAAGATTCTTTGTTTTTGTTATAAATATTAGTTATAATTGATTTTCTTTCCAATTAAATGTGTACATAGAGGTTATTTGTGATTGTAATATGAATCTTAATATAAAGATTTTTGAAGAAATATAATTAAATGATAATTTAAAAATATAATAATGTAATTATAAAACATTTAGCATACTTAATTATAAAAGCAAAAAATTATTTAGCAACACTTAATAACCGCCATTAAAATTTTTAAAAATAAATAAAGAAAAAAATTTAGCAACAATTAATAATAGCTACTAAAATTTAAATAAATAAATAAATTTAGCGGCGGCTGCAAAACCGCCGCTAAAAGTTTTTTTTTTTTTTTTTTTTTTTTTTTTTTTTTTTTAAACCTCATTTTAGCGAAAACCGCCGCTAAAAGCAAATGCAAAGCACCTCATTTTAGCGGTGGTTGTAACCGCTGCTAAATTCGACCATAACCGCCGCTAAATGATTTTCCCATTAATTCCCGCGGTTGTTGAAAACCGCCGCTAAATCCTTCGCGACACACCATTTAGTCACGGTTGGAGAACTGTCGCTAAACAATTTGGTGGCGGTTCACAATCGCCGCTAAACAACAAAATAACCGCCGCTAAATGACGGTTTTGGTGTAGTGTAACGTAACTATTTTAAGTAAGCATTCTATCACTTTTTGAAATTCCAGTATTATTTACGACGTCATAGAGAGAACAATTGGTGTGTCTACCTTCAATTAGCTAGCTCATTCTCAAACCATACTTCCTAAGCTTTCTGTAGTATACAACTGCAACAGTACTACCAAAACAGATCATCAGATAGAGTAGTTCATGGATGCGGAAATCAGCAAGAATGGAAGCCAATTAAGCAATTTACTTTTATTAGACAGTGCATGTGATTAGCGAGAGACAACAACGTAGTAGTAGGGAAGCAAAGACAATTAGACAAACATCATCAGCAAAACCATTACCCTTTAAAGTGATGAAAGTAATTGTAAAAGTTAAGGTTGTGTCGCACGAGAGTTGCACGGCGTTCGAAGAAAAAACCAACAAGATTGTGCATTAATGGATATTTAGATGAATTGATGAATAACAAATCAATGCCCGGACCTGCTATATTATATTTGTCGTCACCAGATTTGGTATAGAATGAATCAGAAATTATACTGTGGACCGCGGTCCACAAAATTTTGTGGCACACCGTCCAAAAATGGCGACGTTTCTTTAAGTAAAGAAACAGCGCGCCATTTCTAAGTCCAACGAAAAGCTTGAACTTTAACTGAATTTTTATGTAAAAGAAGCAATGTGATGATTAATTTGTTTAAGCTAAGGAATTAGACCACATTAAAATGTTCTAACCAAATTTATGTGGCTCATCATCTAGAGTTCAAATTTAGTATGAAATTATGACATTAAAAAGTTTTGATCAAATTTATATCAATGTTTCAAATTCAGTATGAAATTATGACATTAAAAAGTTTGATCAAATTTATATCAATGTTTCAAATTCAGTATGGAATTGTCAACTTTGAAAGGTTTAACTGAATTTATGATGGCTAGCTAGTTTTAGTGGGAAATAAATCATTCAACTTTTACGTTTAACTTAATTTCTAATTAACTTTATAGAGAATGTAGCTATTTTGAGGAAGCACTCTATCTCTTTTTGAAATTCCATTATTGTTTACGGCCTCATTGAGGGAACAATTGACGTGTATCCCTTCAATTTCATATGTAAAACTTATTAAGTCCAAGGAAAAGCTTGAACTTTAACTGAATTTTTATGTAAAAGAGTATATATGCAGCGGAGAGTTAGTAAATTTTTAAAACTTTTGCACGTATTTTAGCCTTATCAAAGTTTTAAGTTTGGTTGTTAGCTAGGTTGGAAAGTAAATGTTGTAAGCAAAGAGCTTTTTTTAGTTAGTTGTTCGGCTAACACAACCTACTACACTTTTCTCCTAAAACACAAAGATTATTGCATTATTATTCTTAGTATAATACAAGAACTTAAGCAGCCTTGATCACAAAGCCACCGGCCTTAAGCTCTTAGCTAGGTTTTCATAAGTATTACCACTTACTACTCCGCCTATTTCTACTTCACACAAGTAGAGAAGGTTTGGTTGATAACACAGGATATGTTGAATCTCCAACTATGATATAGACTCGGCTTGAGATTGACTTGATGAATGCCAAAGTATTTTCTTGATCTTGAATCTCTAAGCCTTTGATGATGCAAGCCAATTCAAAAAACATACTTTTCAACAGATTTAGCTTATCATTAAAAATCAAGTTAATTCAATTCATCAATTAATTAGTATAGTATGAAGTTTCCATTAGAAGCACACATATTCAAGTGTACGTGGTATTTGATTTGCAAATGAATAAATCATATTAAATTAGCAATATATGATGATCAAATATACTAGCTAGCTAGCTCATTCTGAAACCTTCATTAGCTTCCTAAGCTTTCTATCTGTAGTATATGTTTGGAAAAAGTGTTTGTAATCTGTAATACATTTGAGATACAACAATAATACAGAATACAACAGGGAACAAAAAATGGATAATTTGATATCTTCAGGCGTGTAATCACTTTCCTATAAGCTTTAAATCTCCCTCTATAAAAGCAACAAGGTTCAAGATTTAATCTTATGGGCCGGGATACAAGAAGATGAATGAAATTCTCAAGTTGCTTTGTTTGAGAATTTCCTGTAGAGATGTAAGCCTGCGAAGTATCTTGGTTTCCTGCAAAATAATTGCTTGTAAAATGCTTGTAAATTGCCTGTAAATTGCCTATCCCTATCAGATGTTTCTCCAATATATTTATAGATGAAAAATATATCTGTTTGGAGAAGTTACGTGGAAGTTACTGTGATTTAAAACTCAACTTCCATAAGATAAGATATATCCTAGTTGATATATCTATCACTGGAGAAATAATAAAATTATTTTGAGTCAGTAACTGTATGCAAAATTATATATATATATATATATATATATATATATATATATATATATATATATATATTTATATATTCCTTACGCATGAAAACATGCAAAGAATAAATATAAATAATATCCATATATGTAGTTCAATAATCTCAAGCATACAGCTACATATACCAAGCATGTTAAGTGTAACTTTGAAGCATATAGCTTCAAAATGCATAAATAGAAGAGCATATTCCAAGCACGTTAAGTGTAGTTTTGAAGCATATAACTTCAAAATGCCCCAAAACCTTACGCATGAAAATATCCAAATATGCATTAATACTCTTAAGCATATTAGCTATAACTCTCAAGCATATTAGCTATATATCACAAGCATATAGCTATATACTCTCAAGCATATTAACTATATACATTTCTCCCAGTATTTTAATTAACTTTCTACCAAACTAAAATAATATTTACAACTCCACAACTCCAAATATTATTTAAGCTTTCATGGTAGTTCATCTGAAACATTAATCTCCATTACTATATAAATTTCCAACATTCCTCCTCCATTTATATAGTAAAGATTAATACTTTACCAAGATAAATCCAAAACTCATGCATAAATGAAAGTGTCTTAGAGATTGAACATTCACATAGTATTATATGCGTTACATTAATTCGGATTGCAGTGATGGACGAACCTTGAATCACGCAGTCACTTTGAAGAAACGTAGATATAACACACACAAGTTTTACAGTCATTACAACTCACTGTAACTTGACACTATTATGGCCATGTGTCCGTATCCTTATTTAATGAGCACATACCAAGTAAAGCCCAAACTTGTTTGAAGCGGTCACACTTCATGCTCACAGAGGCTAATCTTTTATCTCATACACTGCATCTTGCATTTTTTCAAAAGATCAGTTAAGAGTAAAAACTCATCCCTACAACAATGCAGAACCAAGCATCACCTTTTCTTTGGATACAATTTTAATTAAACTTTTGATGCTTGCAAATCACAAAATGAAGCACTCATCTACATTGAACTCAAGGTCTAACGTAATAACTTAGACGTGAGTTGAGCTTTCCTTCACTTGCAACTTTAATTTAGGCTTTCCGTACCCCTTCCGATGAACCATGTCCCTTGCAAGGACTCTTGCAAACGGATCCGTTAAAATCGGGACTGTACCAAGTCCAGTGCTACAACACTATTACCTAGGATTTTTCACATAGCTAAATCTCAAGCCCATGTGCCTTCACTTGCCATTATAAACACTTGTTTATATGATATGGCCAATGTAGTAGCATTGTCATAATGTACTAAACTGGTGACATCGGTTTTGGCCAAACCGGAATCTAAATA